AGAGTCTCTTTCTATCACCCAGATTACCCAGGCTGGAGTGCAGTGGTGTGATCTCAGCTTACGGCAACTTCCACCTCCCAGGTTCAAGCAATTCTTGCGCCTCAGCTTCTCAAATAGCTAGGATTACAGGCACCCACCACCATGCCCAGCCAATTTTTGTATTTTTAGTAGAGATGGGGTTTCACCATGTTGACCAGGCTGATTTCAAACTCCTGACCTCAAGCGATCCACCCACCTCAGTCTCCCAAAGTGCTGGGAATACAGGAGTAAGCCACCGAGCCCAGCCAATTACACAACTCTTCAACTAACATTTTAAACTTGTATTTTAGCTTGAGGATGTATATGTAAGGGTTTGTTACCTCGGTATATTGCATAATGCTGAGGTTTAGGGCATGAACAATCCTGTCACCCAGATACTAAGCATAGTACCCAATAGTTTTTCAACCCATGCCCCCATTTTTGCCTCCCCCTCTAGTAAGTCCTCAGTGTATTTTTGTCCATGAGTGCCCAATGTTTAGCTTATAAACTTGTAAGTGAGAATACACAGTATTTAGTTTTCTGTTCCTGCGTTAATTCACTTAGGTAATGACCTCCAGCTCCATCCATGTTGCTGCAAAGGACTTGATTTCATTCCTTTATATGACTGCATAGTATTCCATGCTGCACATGTACTACATTTTCTTTACCCAATTCAGCACTAATATGTACCTCGGTTGATGTCTTTGCTATTGTGAATAGTGCTAGAATGAACATGTAAGTGCATGATTTTTAGTAGAAAGATTTGTTTCCTTTTGGATATAAATCCATTAACGGGTTTACTGGGTCTAATGGTAGTTCTGTTTTAAGTTCTTTGAGAAATCTCTAAACTGGTTTCCACAGTAGCTGAAGTTACATTCTCACAGTGTATAAGCAGTTCTCTTTTCTCCACAGCCTCACCAGCAGCTGTTGTTTTTTTACTTTTTAATAACAGCCCTGTGACTGCTGTGAGATAGTATCTTATTGTGGTTTTGATTTGCATTTCTCCGATAATTAGCGATGTGCATTTTTTCATTAGTTTGCTGGCCTCTAATATGTTTTGAGAAGTGTCTGCTCACGTCTTTTGTCCATTTTTTAAATGCGGTTATTGGTTTTTTACTTAATACCTAACACTTTTTCTTGAAAAATTCAGAGTTGTGCCTCCATTTGCCCTTTGATTCTATATGGTAAACTAACATACACATATTTAAACTCTTTCTAGCCACAAAGAAAAACAGTGGAACTGGAAATTTCTGTGGATAGAAATGTAAGGTTAATGACTTAAAAATGTAAGGTTAATGACATAATGTTTACTGGATATAAGACTAATAACACTCCTTAATTTCCAGTCCAGGAGAACTCTGTAATCAACTGGAATCTTTTTAACAGTGGAATTGACTTTTTTTTGTAATAATGAGCTCCCCGGCACTCTGGAAGGAGCTATATGATTACATGTCTGAGAAATTCTTAGAAAAATGTTAGGCTACTAAGTGGTTTCCAACTTCTCTTTAGCCATAGCATAGACACACGCACACAAATATATATATTTTATATATGTAATATGTATATATATATTACAAGCAAAACTTATATTCAGAAGGCCAGTGTGCATATCAGATAAAATCAGAGGTTCTTTAAGTAGGAGTTTGCAAATATTTTCTCCTATTGTACCGGTTGTCTCTTCACTGTGTTGACTGTTTCCTTTGATGTACAAAAGCTTGTAGTTTAATATAGTCCCATTTATCTATTTTCTTTTCTGTTGCCTGTGCTTTGAAGTCTTTGCCATAAAATTTTTGCCCAGACTCATGTCCTGAAGCGTTTCCCCTATGCTTTCTTCTAGCAGTTTTATAGTTTAGGGTCTTATCTACTTTCAGTTAACTTTTGTATATGGTGAAATAGGGATCTAGTTTCATTCACCTGATAAGGAACTAATATCCGGAATATATAAGGAACTCAAAACAATTCAACAGCAAAACCAGAAATAATCCAGTTAAAAAGTAGGCGAGGAACAGAATTGACATTTCTCTAAAGACATGTGAATGGCCAAGTATATGAAAAAATGTTCAACATCACTAATCTTCAGGTAAATGTAAATAAAAACCACAATGACATATTATTTCACCCCAGTTAAAATTAAAATGTCTATTAAAAAGACAAACGACAATAAATGCTGATTAGGATGAAGAGAAAAGAGAACTTTTATACACCATATGTGGGAATGTAAAGTAGTACAGCCATTATGGAAAACAGTATGGACGTTTCTCAAAAAACTAAAAACAGAACTATCATACCATCTAGCAATCCCACTACTGGGTATTTATCCAAAGGAAAAAAAAACTCAGCATGTTAAAAACATACCTGTACCCCCATGTTTACTGCAGCACCATTCATAACATCTAAGGATAATCAAGAAAAATGTCCATCAACAGAATAACAGATTTCAAGTGTTTTTATACACACATACACCACACACACACACACACACACACACACACACACACACACACACACGGAATACTATTCAGCCATAAAAAAGAATGAATTTTTATCATTAGCAGCAACATGGATAAATCTGGAGGACATTACATTAAGTGAAAACGGTCACACACAGAAAGATAAATACAACATGTTCTCACTCATATGTGAGAGCCAAAAAATTTTTTTGAGCTCATGAAAGTAGAGAGTAGAATTGTGGGTATTAGAAGTGGGAAAAAGTAGAGAGGAGGGGAGGATGAGCAGAGGCTAGTTAATGGATACAAAATTACAACTGCATAGAAGAATGAGTTCTGGTGTTCTGCAGAATTGTGGGGTGAATATGGTTAGCTAGAACTTGCTGCATATTTTCAAAAAGCTACAAGAGGGGATTTTGAATGTTCTTAACACAAATAAATGATACATGTACGTCTGAGGTGATGAATATACTAATGACTCTGCTTTGATCATTATACATTGTATATATGTATTGAAATATCACTCCATACCCCATAAATATGTATAATTATTGCATGTCAACCAAAAATAAAGGGAAAAAATTTAAAACATAAGGAGGGGTTTAAGGGCCCACAGTATTGTATATACTTCCATCCTTGCCCTTTCTATGTGGTTCCTGGGGCATCCTAGGGCTCCATAAAGGATAAAGACTACTATATGATCTCTCAGACCCCTTAAAATAATATTAATAATACAGTTGTCCTATTCCTTTCTGGGCACTTGAATTAACTGGTCTCTTTGCTTTCAGTCTACACCATCTTCTATGCTGTCAGTTTTATTCCCAGACAGTACAGATGACCATATTATTTTGTTTACATGCTGTAAGGGTTCCCCAAGATCCACAAAATAAAATCATACTCCATGGTATTATATTTATAGCCCTTCAAAACAAGTGTAAGCAACATTCTATCATATATTTTAGTAAACCAAATGGCAGACTGTTTTCCAATATGCTAGGTTCTTTACATATTTGTGGACTTCTGCTTATATTGTTTTTTCTAACCGTTAATACTCTTTTATGTACCTGGAGAAATCTTGTTCATTTTCATAAGTTCAATTCTACCATAATTTTTTCTGTGAAACTTTTTATATGTACTCCCCTCCTCTATCCCCTTTCTTCAAACTTACCCCCGACAAATGGGAATTCATTCCTTCCTTCTCTGTTACCAAAACAGAGAAGATTAGATTTTATTTAAATCTAATTTATAGCACCTTTTCACTTAAAGTAGTGTAGCATACTTGTTTGAGTATATGTCTCTCGCTGTACTAAGAGAACAGTTAAAAGATGTGGACATTAAATGCAGGACTCAATACAAGGTCTGGCAAAGAATAAACCCTTAATAGCTCTTGGATGGAAATAAAGGATTATATGAGATGATGAATGTCCTAAAGGAATCAGGCAGAAGAAAATCTCTTCTCAATTCCATGAGGACTTTCCAGGTCTTTGTTCACTAAACCATGGTGAAAATAAAGATACTATATATTATGTGACTATATTTTTTGGTGAAAATTAGAGTTATAGAAAATATTTCAGATATTATAAAAATTAATACTTTGTGAAACATAATGTCCACCATTTTCTTAGCCAATAGCCTAGTGTTTTATTTTTGTTTTGATGTACTTGTTTACTTGTCTTTTACAGGTAGAGAATTTTTGTTTGTTTTTTTTTTTAAAGTAAACATAGCAGCTTCCTCCCTGGCCTAAATTACCTTACTATCTAAGTCCCTAAAATAGCAAAGATTATTTAGCTAATCCGTTTTTATTTTCCTCTGATGCTCTTTTTAATCCTTCCTATTTTATCAGCTTCAAACTTGGCAAGTATTAAATACCAATTATTTGTAGATAATTTAAAATCCAATAATGTTCCTTTGATTCCTCTATCACCTGTATCATTGTCTATAACCACTGATTAAGATACTCTTATCTTTTATAATTTTCTTTTTTAAAAATAATAACTAATATTTATTGACTCTTTCCATGTATCAGACAAGATGCTAAATAACATACATGGATTCCCTCAAAATCCTCTGAAACCTCTTATATTATTTTCACTACTTTATAGAGGAAACTAAGGCTTAGAGAAGCTATGTGAGTTGCTTCAAGTTACACGGTTAGGAAACGTGTGAGCTAAGGTACTAACCTACACATATCTGGCTCCAAGACAGTCCTAAAGCAAGAAGTTATCTATTATTTCATGATGGGCACAGCATTCATTAGACACATATTAACAGCGTACATTACTGTAAGCATGTTAAGATCTCTGTTTTGCAGAATTAGAGCCAGAGAAGTTGCTTCTCTCAAGAGACTACATTTTTAAATAATCTTTACTTTTTAAAAAATTATTACTATCAAGCATTCTGTTACTGTATTTTACACTTAAATGATCGTAAAGAAATCAAGATTATACTCACTGAAAAGTCATGGCTCCTGCTTCCAAGGTACATCTGGTAGGGGACTGTTCATTCAACTTTCGAAAGAGTTGCTTAGCCTGACTCTGATACTGTTGAAGGTCCCGGCCAGACTGAAAAAAGATATCTTCATTTAAGAACTTTTCACAAAAAACTGTATCAATTAGTGAGAAACATCATATTATGAAGACACTCTGAATAAGGTCCGTCATTTATAGGTAAGTAAGATTCATTTTAATGAAAGAAAGATAACCTACTTTCAGAGTACAGAGAAAGACCTAACCCCAGCTTCTTCCAGATGATCACATTAGTTATTTGCTAAGATGCAAAAGATATACCACAAATACACTTAACGCACTCTAGATCCAACAGGGAAAGGAAGTGCCCAGAGAATGGGAAGCAAATAGACACTGTTTATCCATCCACATGTGGGGTATGAGGGCTTTCTGCCAGCTATCCAGCTATAGTCTGAATGTTTGCTGATGTCTCCCACAGAATTCATGTTGAAATCCTAACCTCCTCAAGTGATGATACTAACAACTGGGATCTTTGCGAGGTGATTAAGTCATGAGGGTAGAGCCCTCATGAATGCAATTAGTACCTGGATAAAAGAGACCCCAGAGGGTTAGCTTGCTCCATCCACCGTGTGAGAAAACAGCCAGAAGGTGACATCTATGAACCAGGAATAGGCCCTCAATAGTCACCAAATCTGCTAGTATTTGATCTTCACCTTGCAGAACTAGAAAAATCAATTTGCGTTGTTTATAAGCCACCTAGTTTATGGTATTTTATTATAGTAACCTAAACAGACTAAGACACTGCCATGTGATGCAAGGAAATCATTCTATTTTGGAATTATTTATTTTACATTGAAAAAAAGTCTCCCTTTGGCAGATGTTTAATAACTAAATATTTAAGTAGAAAAGTGTTTACACTAGTGTCTCCCATGGTCTGAGGTCTAACTTTGATAAAGTTCACAGTGATATCTTAAAATTGTAGATAGTGTACTGCTAAGCTGATAGTAAAAACAAGGAAGCAATAATAAAATGCTAAAGTGGCAGATTGGCAAATGTACAATTACAGGATACTAAGATTCTAAGCTATACATAAAAATAGTGAACTGGAAATTTCAGTATGAATAAGAAGGTAAGCATGAGGTGAACCAGGGGAAAAGAGGCAGAGTCCAGTCAAGGTATTAGTTTGTAGATTCATCTTGTGTAGCACCACTGTTATGGTAATGATTTGTTTTATTGACATATATTTGTTATATATTTGAGAAATAGTTCTATATTAACATTTGTATGTCTGTCTGTATGTACAGTTTTGTATATTAAACACTATTTCATAATACTTCTATATCAAAATTATCATATTAAACAGACTACTAATATATGGTCAGCCAGTAAGAGAGTAAATACTGTCATATGCTTTTACAATGAGAACCAGTGCACAATATTCTATTTTCCTAAATTTGAATGGTACTTTACCAATCTTTTTGTTTCCCCAGTGCCATTCTAAAGAAATCTGAACCCACAAGAGTAGATAAAAGGGGTGCAAATAATGTTGGGAATGCTACTAAGTGCCAAGATATGAACATAGATCTGTGATATTCAACCTTGACTTCATAACAGAATCACTTGGGGAATCTCAAAAGCAAAACTAAAGGCGGATGAGAATCGTAAAAGGACTAGTTGAAGAAACATGGAAAAAATTGTCAGATAGACTGGTACAAATCTTTTGACTTTAAAAGAGGCACTGTAAACATTACTGCAACCTGAGAGAAAGGCTAACAACTGTATCAACTGTAAGAAACTGGCCAAATGCATGCTACAATTTCAGGAATGTGCAAACAGCAATGTAAAGACTGTCAATATACAACCCTGGGGATGTATTTATAGGGATTATGGTATGCCAACCAACACCTTACCATGCTGATTTAGTTAGCATTACCATCCTTGAGAACACAATGCTAGCACAATCTTTTGGGTTAAATAATAATCTTTCTGGCATAGTCACATAATGGAATATTATGCAGTCATTAGAACAATGTTGTATAGTATTTAATGATATGAGAAAATATTCATTAAACTCTGTTAAGTGGAAAAAATTAGGTGAAACAGTCTTATGATACTACCTATTATTTAATTTTATACACACATGCATATGTTTAAGGTCATCCACCAGAATGGATATAATTTGAGTACAGATTATAGCTAATAAACACTGTTAACATTTTGGTCATTTTGTTTTTATGTATTTACTGATGTTTCTATAATATGCACAAATTAATTCTGTAATGTGAAAAATCATTCACTCATTACTGTTCATTACATATTTGCATCCAGTGTGTTGATTATGTGCAATTCTATCTGTGAACCTTTAAGAAAGGCAAGATGAGGCCGGGAGCAGTGGCTCACGTCTGTAATACCAGCACTTTGAGAGGCTGAGGCAGGTGGATCATGAGGTTAGGAGTTCAAGACCAGCCTGGTCAAGATGGTGAAACTCTGTCTCTACTAAAAACACAAAAATCAGCCAGGCAAGCCTGTAATCCCAGCTACAGGAGGGGCTGAGGCAGGAGAATCTCTTGAACCTGAGGGGTGGAGGTTGCAGTGAGCCGAGATCGCACTGCACTCCAGCCTAGGCAACAGAGTGAGACTCTGTCTGAAAATTAAAAAAAAAGGAAAGGCAAGATGGAATTAGAAAAGATTCTTCAGAAATGGTCAAATGAAATTATTAAGTGTTCACTTTCTGCCAGGCACTGTTCTGAACACTTTATATTATTTAACTTGTTTAATCTTCATGAGGTGACTAGAATAATTATGCCAATTTTTTACTTGAGAAGTCAAACTTGCCCAGTGACTTTAAGCTAAAAACGGAAGGCCTAGGATCTGAACACAGGCAGTCTGGCCCTGGAGTCCCTACTCCTAAGCATTATGCTACACTAACTCTGTAACTGAAATTGCTTCAATAGTAGATCCACCTTTTAGGTCAAGTCTTATTATGTAATTCTAATTCATTGGAAATGCTCAAGAAACCATGTGGCAGCTCTGATCTAGATCTCACAAAACAGCATAACCACTGTTTTACAGGCTGACCTTTAGTTTGCTTTCAAGATCAAAGTCACAAAGGGCCCACAGTTAGCCAGTCCACCCTAAAATACTTAGATGTCCTCATTCTGTTTTCTACTCCATCCAGAACAGATTAACAAAATTTGTATATGGTGTAATTGTGAGCTATCTGTTAGTAACCCAATAATGCAGTGGATCAGAATAACTGGAAAAACTGTGAAACAAATTTGAGGTTATCCAATAGCAAATTTAGCATTTGGATCTATATATTACAAAAGGTAGAAGGTAGTAATTTGACACACAACTACAACACTTTTCATTGCTGTCACCTAGGACTGCTGAACAACTAGTTGTTTTAAATAACAACTTTTGTCTTCATAGCTCTTATCATTTTTAAATACCCCATTGAACTGAGCTGGCCAAAGACCAGCAGCACCAAGAACCAACCACTTTCCTCTAAAAGCAATTACAGTACAGTGATTAATCAACCCTCAGTGATTGGGAGAATGAGACAATTTAACTGTATAGCATGTTATCTGCTTTCTTGGAGCTTCCTGCTGCCTATCTGGTGAGATCTAACACTTTCTTCAAGTCTGAACTGCCCTTCACAGTGCCAGGGGAAAATAAAAGAAAATACAATTTTGAGGCAGAACAGAAAAGTAGCTAAAGAAACTGCAAACATCCTGAAAGGAGAAACACACCATAAAAGGAAGAAAAAAAGATAAATAGGGTATCAGTTAGGAAGTCTACATTTGAGAAGAAAAGCTCATCTCTCTATCTGCCCTAAGTCTAAATTTCCAGTTAAACACAAAGAAACGCCCTGTATGAAATACTCTGTCTACATTATTTTGTGAATTTTATTCTCTATTGTATTATCTGAAGAACTGTCCATCTTTGATAATACAGCAGCTTGTACAGGCACCTAGTAAATACATAAAATATGATATCTATTATCAGTATAAATATTGAAAGTACACTGATAAGAATACAAAAACAAACAAAAATGAAAATACATTGAATTATTTGGCCTGGACAATTAAGGTGCCTAGATATAAAACTGTTTGGTCGAAAAATATCTGTTTATTAAAAAGTTATTTCTGGACTCCTGAGGTAAGACATCATTAAAAAGTCTTAGAACGAGGCAGTGAAGTGCATTGGTTAGGCACTAAAGCTTCAGTTGACTCAAACAAATACTTATTAAACAATGGGTCTCAATTGGGGTGATTTTGCCACCCCTCCCCACCACCATGGGACACTTAGCAATGTCTAGAAATATTTTTGTTGTCACAGCAAAGTGGGGAAGGGTGGTGGTGCTACTGGCATCTAGAGGGAAGAGGCCAGGGATATTGCTGGACCTCCTATGCGATGTACAGGACAGTCCCCAAAAACAAAGAATTATCTACCCCAAATGTCAACAGTGCCAAGGTGAAAAACTCTGATGAAAAACTTCATCATGTTACTTATTAGCAGTGCGACTTTAGGCAAGTGATCTATCCTCTATAAAGCTCAGAGCTTCCTTATCTACAATTGGGGATTTTAATGGTACCTATTCTAATAAGGTAGCATGAGGATTAAATGAAAAAATGCATTTAACAGGGTTAGCACAGTGTTTGGTATGTAGTAGGCACTTTTATAAATGTTCTGTATACCATTAATATAGTAAAAGTAAGTCTAAGATTCAGATTTTTACAGACATTAAAAGTTCAGGCAAACTTTATTATTCAAAGTCAAAATTCCTAAAGGAAAATACTATGGCACTACAATCACAAAAATATTTGTGTATAAAATTTCTTGCCTTGTCAATTAAATGAAGCAACCCATCTTGATAAACCAATACAAAATCAATACCAAACTCAGAATTAAAAAACAATAAATCAATTAATTTTTCAATAAAGTATCAAGGCAGAGAGTAGGGGCAAATAATACTAAGTAGACTTTCAAGTTCACTTTGTATTCTTTGTCCACACTGGAATTCAATGCAATAGTTTAAAAACGGAGTAGAATCCATCCCCTCTACCCCCATCACACAGCCACCCACTGTAGGAAAACTATCTTTTAGTCAAACTACATATCCTTCAAGGATATTTCCCTACACTAACTACTTTGTTCAAATCATATTCCTGGGTTCATTTCAACAATTACACTCCTTCTGCAGGATGGTCCTAGAATATTCCTGAAAAACATTTCACAGTAGCAAATAACAGTATGTTAAATTGTTCACAGTTATGTCAAAGATTAGACTTTGTTTTTATGAAATGAATGAAATATATTTCACCTAGCATGACCTGCAACTTTATTATCTGTACCAATACTCTCCTAAAAGTTAAAGTAAATATATTTCCCAGTCAAACCTAAAAAGGCATATAACTAGAATAGTTCCTTACCAATGGATCCTACTGTTAGCTTAATGTCATGCCTTCTGGGAAGGCTTTCCTGACTTCCTAAAATCAACTTAGATACATTTCCCATGTTCAACCATAAAACTCTCTTCCTTCTCCTTAGCAGTTATACTGCATTTTAATAGTTATCTGATTTTTCCACTAGACTGTAAGTTCCTAAAGGTAAAGACTGTGTACTCTTGACCCCTGCATTAACACTATGCCTGGCACATTTGATGTGCTCAATAAAAATTTTTTGCATTAATATATGAATGAAAAGTCCAACAGAATAAATGCACAAAACATTTTTTTTTTTTAGATATCATCGTTTTCTTAAGGCTCAAGGTTTTAAAACACCACTTAGGCTGTATGAAAACGTAAAATAAAATTGATCACTTTAAATAAATTATATCAATTCCATTCTCAGCTTTGTCTTCAGAACCTCCCAAGCTCGCTCTAGAAACTGGCCTTACTTCAGAGATTTCCACTGTGATTCTAAAACACAAAACAGCTTCCTTTTAAGATATCTGAAGTTGTTGCTGTTTTTAATCAATTAGATGTATTTTTGAGCACCTACTAGCATAAAGCAGCTATTGTAAAAGATACGGATAACACAGACATGATTAAGAACCGTCGTCAGCCCACTAGAAAACTCCAGTTATTGAAAGACAAAGAAAAAAATAAGTTACAATGCATTGCAGGAATGTGGTACGGCGTATTGGAGAAGGTGGGAACTGGGGATAATCCTGAAAGAATGTGCTGTACTGAACTTTAGCAGGTGCTTTATATGTGGCAATATTACCTCACCCACTTTCAAAAGATGTCAGCAAGCTAGGTCAAGGATCAGGTGCTACATTACAGAGGTGAGGAGCTCGGCTGCGTTTTCACAGGATTTATCCGTCAGCAGTCCTGTTAGCAGCAGAAAATTGGAAGTCCTGAATTTTAACAAAGTCCCTAAAAAGTCAAAGAACACTGAGTCATCACAATCAACCAAAGTTATCACTTCTCCAGAGCGTTTTTCTAAAGAGAAACAGGTAACACAAAAACCTAACTCATTCTTCAGGAAAGATTTCCTCTCTCAGGCAGTCTCTCCCACACCAAAAGATAAAAGAGCACTTCAGAGAGGTCGGGAGTGCCCGGGAGGTCACAAGGATCTCCGGGTCCTAGAAAGGAATCCGATGCTGAGGGCGGAGGGTGCCGGCCGAGACTTGGGGTCGCGGGGGTAGTCGCTCACCTGTTCGTCCTCCTGCATCGACGCTGCCAGCGGGAGCCCGTCCGCCACTCGGGCGATCATTGTTAGCAACACCATCTTCACAAACTACAGGGACCCAACACTGGCCCGGAAGGCCGTTGGCTTCGTCCTCACTTCCTCCGCCGCGACAACAGACCCTGTCTCAGTCACCGAGAGGCAGCTGCTGGCGTCTCCGCTTCCCGCTGAGGTGGCCGGAAACAGCGCAAGAGCTTTCCACTACCGGTCCCCAGAACTGGCTTCCCTCAGACAACCACAACTATCGCAACACTGGTTCCGCGACCTCTCCTTCCATCTTCACACTCTTCCAAGGTCTGGCCGGCATTTCTGAATTTGAGGCTTCGAATAAGCCTTGCCTCTTGAGGGGCATTCCACCCAAGCTGAGTCAAAATTTTCTAGTTCCCGATACTTTAAGTCTTGGGAGAGAGCTGAGAATGAAGGTGGGAGTCAATGGGTACTCCCCATTAACTATTAACCGTTAACCATGAAGGGTATGTTAAAAAAAGAAAAACCTTAAAAATTAGGCTATTTTCATATTTAATTTTTCTATTTTCTATGTTATATATTCTATAAAATATCCTATATTTGTATATTTCTAGGCAAAGATTTGTGTCTATTTTTGCTTGTTTACGCTATATCCCCAGGGTCCTTAAACGGTTTATGGTAAGAAGTAAATAAATATTTGTTGTATGTGTGAATAAATGAACAAGAACAGGACCTCATGTATCACCTAGGTCAGTCAGCCTACAAAAAGCTGGGTCTCTGATATATCTAGGTGTTCTTATCTCCTTGTTTTTTGGTGTCCCCATCCCTAAAATGGGGATATTATCAGCCTTTCGGGGTTTTAATGAATATTATATGAGAAAGTCTAGGTGCAAGCGTTTCCTAAACTAAAAAAAGAATTATACAACTGCTTTTTATTTATCATTACTTAATAATAACTACTCTTTACTATGTGCTTACAGGAAGTTCTTGCATTCATAGAAACACTGTTAAGTATGTTATAGATATTAATTAAGCAACCAGTAAACAACCCAGTAAGCTAAGCAACCCAGTAAGGTTGTTTAGTATTATATCTCCACTTTGTAGTTGAAAGGAAAGCCTCAGAGAGCTAGCAGTGATGTGGACAGGATTTGAGCTCAGGTTCAACTCCAAATCCTCATGTGATTCTGTCTTAACTTGTACCCATTAATTAAAGAGCTCAGGCTTTTGTTACCTTTTATATTGGCCTTCAGCATTAGAAGAAAACTAATATTCTTTTTTTGTGTGGCGTTGTCTTTATTGAAAAGATTTTTATTTCAATAGCTTTTGGGTTACAAGTGGGTTTTTGTTATGTGAATGAATTATATAGCAGTGAATGCTGAGATTTTAGTGCACCCATCACCCGAGTTGTGTACATTATACTTAATAAGTAGTTTTTTATCCATAAGTCCCTTCTCACCCTCCCCCTTCTAAGTCTCTAAAGTCCATTATATCACTCTGTATACCTTTGTGTACTCATAGCCTAGCTTCCATTTAAGTAAGAACACATGGTTTTTGGTTTTCCACTCCTGAGCTACTTCCGTTAGAATAATGGCCCCCAGCTCCATCCAAGTTACTGCAAAAGACGATATTTCACATCATTTCATTCCTTATTATGGCTGGGTAGTAGCCCATGGTGTGTGTATGTGTGTGTGTGTGTGTGTATAACATTTTCTTTATCCACTCATTAGTTGATAGGCACTTAGGTTGGTTCCAATCTTTGCAATTGTGAATTGTGCTACTGAGAAAACTAATAGTATTTAATGTTAGACTTTTGAGACCAAAACCCAATAACACCTAGTGATTGACTCCACATGAAAGATGAAGGACTAGAATAAGACCAAAACAAACAAAAAACAGTTGTGCTATAAACAGACACAGAAAGTGCAACGGAAGTGAATCCTTGTGTATATGGGAGTCTAAGTTGGTAGAATCATAGTGTCTTACATTTAAAATAGCCCATAGATTTAAAATCCTCCCGCTTAACAAGGATGTGCCTTCTCCACAGCCTCAAATGATGGTCATTTGATTAATGGGGAATTAATGATACAAATATTTTAACTAAGGATACAGACTGCCATGTTGATTAGAGAAGCAGAGAGAGAAGAATGTAGTAGGTGTGTGCAGAGAAGCAAATTTGGAGCAAGAATCCAAATCTCTTTTCAGTTCCTGGCTCTAGGCTCTTCCCAACACCCATACACATTCCTGCCATTGGGTTGTTCTATCAAACACTATTGCTTCTTTATAACAAATTCCCTCTTTTCTCGTGCTTAGGCTACTTTGATTTACTCTGTTACTTACAACCAAAACACACACACACACACACGAAAGAATGCAGTCACCCTGGAGCAATTATTTCTTGTAACAACAACATTCATACTCACACCTCTTACTTTTATCATTTGTAAACACACTAGATTACTGTGGCCCCCTTCAGACACACTGAACTTATTATTCCAGGAAAAGGACAGTGATCTTAGGCTGCTAGTAATTTCAGCCATCAGGAGAAAACTAGAGTTGGCTCTAAAACTGCCCGCTATTCAGACCTTGGAAGCTCTGGCATCTGAGTTCCTTTTCCTTCTGACTTGATCAGCTTCATCTCATTCACATCCGCTTATTGCCTTTGAGCTGCTGCCCTTTGATTCCTGGAGGAATACAGGACTGTGTAATAATACTTAACTCTGTGGTCAGTAAGTACACAGAAGGTCCTCAACTGTTTTACGCTGAATTAAACAAGAGTATCAACAAACATTTGTACCAACTTTAAAATTTATAAAGCCTACGTATATCTTTTGCCCTAAATCTGACAACAACCTGTGAAAGGGATACAATTATTGGAGTTTGTAAATGTTGTGTTAGGGAAAAAAGAAAAAGTAAACCTAAGCCTTGAGTGTCATAGTGAGAGCTGCCAGCAGATTCTCGAAACTTACCAAAGATATTGTGAAATGCACATATCTAAATCAACTTCTATTAAGCTGCCTAAACAGGATAAGACTTTCCATTACAGCGGAGTCACACAGTTGCAGAAATTTTACAAGTGAGCTCAAACGAAGCAATAAAGATTTGTGTCCATTTATTCCCAAACAGTTCTATTGAATGCCTAATTCTATTTCAGACACTGAACTAAGTCATAAAGACGAATAAATAGTAGTCCCAGCAACTGTGGCCCGCCAACCCCCAGACTAAACCCTGTCACTTAGGAGGTCTGCAAGTAAACGGCAGCTCCTGTTTGAATTACATGATTATATACATGGAAATAACATTTCTTCTGAGAAACTGTTTTTGTGCTCCTGGCAGGCAAAAGAACAGATAGCCGCTGTATCTGGGCCGATATCTATCGATCTGGGCCACTGTATGTGGTCTGTATGCACCAATATGGCTGTACCGGCCATGAAAATATTGGAACATTTTCTTATAGATTAGTAAAAAAGCTATTGCCCGGATCGTCCCCTCCTTGAGCCCTTTCTTTCTACCCCAGCAGCACGCGAACGCTTAAGATCCCTGCTCCCCACAGTTCAGCCAGATCCCGTTGTCACTGGCCGTCTTCCAAGTATCTTTTTGAAAAGCGTGGCCTCCAAGCGTAGCTATTGCCTCCCCCCGGGAATCAGCCCGCCCTGCCTCCCGCCCTGCGGGCCGCCTCCGGCCGCACCTCGGGTCGGCTGCCGGGCGCAGGCCACCGCGGGGGATGGGAGGCAGCGCCCCAGGCGGGCTTACTGACACCATCTGTTCTGGTGATTAAACACGAGTTATTTTCAATTCTCATCCCTGATTAAACCTCCTTACAGCGCGAGCTGCGTGAAGGCAGGACTTTGCCTTCTTTATTCTTGAATTCGTTCACAGCGCTTAGCTGTGTCCGCACAGTGAGTCGAGTCAGTGAAGTCAAAGTAAAGGGTTAGGGGGAAGGAGGAACGACCTGAAAAGAACAAGGTGTGCCTTCTAAGTCCTGTGAAAGCCTATGTTTAAAATAATTACGACTTGCAGGGCGCAGTGGCTCACGCCTGTAATCCCAGCACTTTGGGAAGCCAAGGCGAGTGGATCACGAGATTAGGAGTTCGAGACCAGCCTGGCCAAGATGGTGAAACCCCGTCTCTACTAAAAATACAAAAATTAGCTGGGCCTGGTGGCGGGCCCCTGTAATCCCAGCTACTTAGCAGGCTGAGGCACAGAATTGCTTGAACCCGGGAGGCAGAGGTTGCAGTGAGCCAAGATCGTGCCACTGCACTCCAGCCTGAGCTACAGAGCGACATCTGTCTCAATTAATAAATAAACAAATAAATAAATAAAATAATTACGACTTTAGCCGGGCGCCGTGGCTCACGCCTGTAATCCCAACACTTTGGGAGGCCGAGGCTGGTGGATCACTTGAGGTCAGGAGTTTGAGGCCAGCCTGGTCAACATGGCAAAACCCCGTCTCTACTAAAAATACAAAAATTAGCTGGGTGTGGTGGTGGGCACCTGTAATCCCAGATAGTAGGGAGGCTGAGACAGGAGAATCACTTGAACCCAGAGGTAGAGGTTGCAGTGAGCAGAGGTTGGGCCACTGCACTTCATCCTGGGTGACAGAGCAAGACTCCGTCTCAAAAAAGAAACAAAAAAAAACCTACCACTTTATATAGCCTATTTCAAATATCGAGCCACAGCAAAGCTATCTCTTGCCTTCTAGAAGAAGCTATTTCGTGAAACTGTAATACTTCTTCCATCATGTCTTTGTGGTTTCCCTACTTTGTCAGGAAAGCCCAGCAGAGAGCAAGCCCAGCTGCTTCATGCCTTGGAGCTTTTGATGTGTGGGGTGACTAGGATAATTGGGGTAGTTTTGATAACACCTAAAATATTGTATGGAACTTAATTTTTTAAAAAAACATATTTCTTCTCTTACTAGTCTCCAGACTCTTTCAGGACAGAAAAACTAGTTAATTATTCCTAAGGGTCTAGTATCCTGTACCTGGAACTTAGCAAATGCTCAATTACTGTTTATGGAATAAATGACTGAATGAATGGCATGTCTCATGGGTTGAGATGATACTCGTTGGTTGTATACAGCACGATTCACAGTGGCTATTGTACTAAGTGAAAATATATCCAACCCCCATTTCTTTCATTCTTCCAATTAGTTATTCAACAAATATTTATTGTTCAGCTACTATGAGCTAGGAATATCAGGCACTGAATTATACAGAGATGAACAAAAGGAACATGATATATGTTACTGGAAACGGGTCCCTATCCAGAACCCAAGAGAGGGTTCTCGGATCTCCTGCAAGAAAGAACTGGGGGCAAGTCCGTAAAGTGAAAGCAAGTTTATTAGAGGAGGAGTAAAGAAACAAAAGAATGGCTACTCCATAGACAAAGCAGCAC